CCCCGCTTTGCCTTTCTGCCTGTTTGGCAAGGCCAGCTGCTCCCCACCTTTGCTGCAGCAGTTCCAGCTAGGGAGAAAGCTGGGCCATGGCTACACACAGCTCCTTCTTGGGGCCCTTTGGTCCCCGCAGGTAAGGTCCCCATGTCACCAGCCTCCCCTTGGCTGGGCAGCTTGAGGCCCTTCTCCCTTTCTGGGCAGAGCAAAGGGGCACCGCAGGGAGACTGCCTTTCCTACAGCCACGGCCTTCTTTCTGCCTGCCCCTCACCTTGCAAGGCCTTCCGTCCACCGTCTGCTCCTCAAACTCCTCCCCGATCTTGAAATGGATCTCCGTGGTGCGCACCGTTGTGGAGGTCTTGATGTAGAAAGATGTTCCCTCTTGCTTGATCTCCACAGCCGGCTTGGAGGCAGCCGCCACCGCGATTTTCCGAAGCATCACATTGACCCCTGGAAGATGGTGGCCAAGGTGAGCCAGTCCCAACCTTCTGGCTGATCCTTGGTGAGATGTGGTCTCCCTGCTTGAACTGGGGGCAGCCTCCCCTTCCCTGGGCTAAACCTGTTCCCCACAGGCCTGTATCTGGGGTCCACAGCGAATGGGCCAGCATTCCCCAGCTATGGGGCACAAGGTTGAAGAATCCTGACCAGCTGGATCCCCTCTTTTTGCAAACCGAATCTCTTGGAAGCCAACCAGCTGGGCAGACAGGAGAACATTTGACCTCTCTTCCTAGAACTTTTGGAAATGTTGAGCCAAGCATCTTTAGAAACTTTGGAGCAAAGCTGACTTCTGCTGATGCAATCCTGGCCCCCTCTGGCTTGGGTTCAAGGGCCACCATTGACCCCATTGACCCAGAACAGGCCTGTGGCTGATTCACCTAGCTTTCTCAATTGCTTACCCTGCAGAAGTGAGTCACACCCACTCTGATGGGACTTCTGCTCCTCCTGAATGGATTGCATTTACATCTGGGCTTAATTTGCAAGGGGGACACACCCAGATCTCAAATTTCTGGGCCCTTATTCTGTAATACCCCCTCCCCCAGGTATGTACACATTCCTGCGTGTCTTTGCATGACAAAATTTACAGATGCTACAACAAACCTCTTAGTCTTTAAGGTGTCTCCTGCTTCAGCTGTATCTCTCTTTGTTCTTTCTTTCTTAAAACACACGTACCAGTGACACACACATATTTGATAAATACTTTGCAGATGTGGGCATTCAGCCAGGTTGAAGGAGCTGAGTGTGAGGCAGTGACAGCCTTTAAGAAGAATTGGGGGGGGGCATTATCCATCTGTCCTCCTTGAGAAGACTGTCATCATCAAGAACTTGCACAACCATCAGTCATGACAGCTTCCCCAGAAGAAGCAGCGTTACAGTGTTGTACACACTAACGATTGTGCAACATGAGGCATGAGAAGAGGCAGAAAGGAAAAAGTGATAGAGGCTCCATGGGAAAATCGAGACACTAACTTACAGCCCTGATGAAGTCCAGGAAGGTATAAACCATCCCATCCCATTTGGGCCAGTTTTTGCAGAAAACAGGCAGACGTTCTGCTCTGGATTGGCTCGTGCTGCTTTTATTTTGTTATTAAATCAAATTTTCTAACAGGTCTGGATCCAATCAGTGCTGTAGCTGAAGCTTCCTAGAGCGCACTGGACAGAGAAGGCCATTTCTGCTTTTGTTCTTTTCAGCTGCGTTTATCCCGCCCTATAACTGGACCTAGATTCTCCCCGATTAAGCAGGCAATGGAGCAGCGGGAGCGCTGAGGAGCCTCGCCCTTTTCGAAGGAGAAAGGGGGGCAACTCTGCCTCTGCCTGGATGGAAAAACAACGTGTTGCGTGGCCCTTGGCTGGCTGGAGTCGCACCGGCTGCCAAGTTTCCCTTGGTGAGGACTGATCACAAGATTGAACAAAAATGGCAGTTTTACTAGGGGAGTGGCAAGGTTAAAAGAGAAACCTCTCTGCCTGGTGTGTTTTCTTGAAAGAAAGGAAAATACAATGGAACGGGGTTGCTCAGGGGGCAGGCCCTTCCAGGGCCCACTCACATCTTTCGTGGGCATGCAGAGAAAAACTAGGGCCCCAAAGGCCACAGTGCTGGATCGGCCACAGAGATAGACTGCCTCTAGGTCTGCGGGCTTCACTTAGCTCTTCCCCCAAGCAGCTCCAGCCCAGACTTGCCTTTGCATTTCCGCCTGGGAATAGGGACTGGAAGGCAAGACGATCTTGAGGTCTTTTTCATGCACCCCCTGGAATCTCTTCATGGAGGATCAGGCACCCCCTCCCCAAAGAACCGCTCAACCCCTCTCAGCGCTGGTTTGTTGCAGGTCCGCGTCTGTTCCCGCGCCCTCCCTCTCTTCCACACACACTCACGAACTTCCACACACACTCACGAACACATCTGAATTCTACTTCTATCCCTCCTCCAGCCTCTTGAGGCTTCCAGCCTCAAATTATCCCCATATGGGGGGCAGGAGACGGAAAGAATTACGTGAAAGAGGAAATTTAAGTACCTGATAATTATCCTGAAGTATGTTGTGCTTTCCCCAAGCTGGAAGGAATTTGCAGAGCTCCCCCCCCCGCCCTCTGTTTTGGAGAGAGAAAGAGAGAGGGAAAGGGAGGGGGCAGGTCTGAGTTAGGGGAGCCAGGAGCCAAAATCATCTCCCTGGGAACAGGCACCTGGGGAGGGGGTCTTTTGCCTCAGTTTCCCCAGCTTTGCTTAGCTCCGTGTGTGTGTGCGCGCGTGTGTGTGTGCGCGCGCTCCAGCTTGCCTGGGAAGGGTGCAAAGGGGGTTTCTTCTAGTTGAAGGCCGGGGGAGGGAAGGCAAGATGGGAGAAGAGCTGAGAAAGCGTGGGGGGGGGGCGGATTTTCCATCCTTGCTGCTCAATACAAAGCCATCCTCACCGACGACTGTCCCGATCAGGGAAGAACCAGGGCAAAGCCGTTGCACTGGGGCTGAATCGGTTGCCCCCGGGAGACCCGGAGCCTAGTCTCCCGCTTCGGCCTCCCCCAGCGGGGCAAAACTCCCAGAATTTCTGCTCCCGCTTCGGTTCCCGGGTCAAAGGACGGCGAGGTTCTCCTTTTGTGCTTTCTGAGTTCCGAGAACCCTCGGAACAAGAGAGGGAAAGAAAGACGGAGTCCTAAAGGCTCACCTCGGGATCTCCCCCCCCGCCCCCGCCAATCCCTCCCTGAAGGGGACAGACTCGGACAGAGTCAAGGGCTTGACTCTGCCCCACCCACGCCAAGCTGCCCCCAGCCCTGTTTCTCCGGCGCCCGGCTCTGGGGGCGCCGGCAAGATGATCAGAAGGGCGCCGGACCGCGGG